TTATAAATTATTATTATTATTTTATTCTAATAAAAAATTAAAATACAATTATAAAACATACAAAATGTATTATTATTATTATATAATTTTATAATAAATAATACATTTAATTTTATATTTTTATAATTAATTTGATCATTTTTCCTTAAAATGTGCTTACTCCACCTTTGAATTTAAATTTCAATGTAAGATTTTCTTTATCAATTATATATATATACATTATTAAAAATTATTTTTTTGATAATTTTACATTAAAATGCACTTAAAATGTCCACCTTTAAATGTAAAGTTTTACTTTATTAAAGTTTATTAACATTTTAGTTTGTAAAATTTTTATTATTAATAATTGATAATAATAATAATATTTTTTTACATTTTACAAATTGATTTTTTATTTTGTGTTATCTTATAAATAATAAAATAAATGATTTATAAGATGCACTTACTTGACCTATGAATGACAATTTCAGTGTAAATTTTAATTTATACATTTATAAAATATTTTTTTTACTACTACTACAATTAATACATTTTTAAATTTAATTTATAGTTTTTTTTATTTATAGTTTATGCAATTATATATATATATAATTTTTTATGTTTTACGTTTTTTTATTACTATGCATAAAACCACCTCTGAAACAAATGTCCTTTTCTGCTGTTTTTTGCCAAATTTATCCAAATGAAGTGAGTTTTTTTGCTTAAAACACGAGTGAACATCTGTAAATATGGGGTCAGAAAAAAATAACTTATTTAGAGGGAAGTTTGCTCTGACATTAGCAGATTTTTTTTTTCTTGTTTTAAGCAAAAACTCAATTTGTCAGAAAACCAAACTTATTATCTCGTGTCATTTTACTTAACAAGTAAATGCATCTAGATTTAAGAACACAAGACAAAAATACTGAGGAGAAAGAAGTTGATCCGTACATGAGCATCCACTGAGGGGCGGCAGAGCGGCTGAACGGAGGGCGGTTTTGGGGTGTTTGTTCAGAATGACGGGGCCCAGCAGATGAATGAGGGATTAGAGATCACTGATAAAGACAAGCTGGGCTTTTGGGTGGAAGCGGCACAGTCGGGGCTGCCGTAGATCTTCCGCAGCTCATTGTTGGGGCTCACAGGCCGAGAGAAGCGTCCACGGGAGGGAGTTTGACCCCTGTGACTACACTCAAGAGCAGCATTGTTCTCACAAATCCCCTCAAACCCGCCTCTGAGGCGCACAGATACTACAGCTTCAGCAGCACAGTCTGGACGAGCCGTGTTTGCATGTGGGGAAAAAGGTTTACTTACAAACATAACGTCTCCCATTGTGATTTCTGCAACATTTTGCTGTGCTTCAGGTGGTGCATGTGGCTTCAGTTCACATGTAGAGATGCTGCAGTCCTGTAGGGGGCGACACAATAACAGCTATGTGTAAGCACGACTCCGGCGACGCAGCATGCATCTGCAACTGTGCAGGCCATGAAGTTCACAGAGCAAGATTTCAAGTGCACAGTTGTAAAAAAAAAAAAATTTGTTGCTGCAATTAGACAACAACCTGAAAATTTGTGGAGATAACTTGAATAATCAACATAACTAAAGTTAACCTTAGTTTAAGTACGAAAACTTGCTTTTCTTAAGTTGAAACAACACATTACTTATTTTAATGTTAAATTTTAAGTGATAACTAATCACAGCAATATATATATATATATAGTAACTAGTTTCTAACTAAAAATAGAAACTAGTTTACTGCATATTGTGCCTTATGTACTGTAAAAGAAATGGTAGAATGCTATTTCAACATTAGCAAAATGTAACAACTGTAAATGTAATGTAACTGTCCAAAAGTGAGTTGTTATTCAGTATATACACCAGTGTTACTTTAGTATTATTATTAAAATATTACAATTTATAAATATTTCGAATCAGTTTTTTTTTATTTTCTGTTTTCATTTTAAATTTAATTAAAGTTTGAGTAATTTTGTTGTGCATTTTTTGTCTTTTTTTATAGATCGTTTTTTTGTCTATTATTTTTTTATACTTTTTTTTTTTATTACTACACCAAGTTAAACTAAATCAAAATGAGAATAGCAACGTGCTGAGATATATTTTATTTCATTTTAAGTAGGGAATTTTTTTATGGTTTTAGTTTCAGTTTTAGTTTTTATTCACTAAACAACATGATTAATTTACTGAACAACATGACTAAACACACATTAAAGTATTAGTTTGTGGGGGGTTTGTACCTCGACTGAACTCTGAAATCTCACCTCTGCATTTCTGTCAAACATTCGTCAGCTCATTCAGGCCTCCAGCGGCACAAACACAGCCTCTAAAGGCCTTCCTGTCCGTTTTACTGGCTGTGTGGAACAAATAAGGGGCGTAAAACTGGCCTGGTTTTAATGGGCACTTCAAACAGTTCAAACACAGAGGTCATGTGAGAAACTCAGGACGAGCTGCACGAGACACATAATACAGCATATTTATCATTCTAAAGTCGATATTTGTTTAAAAAAATGTAACAACTAAATTAAATGGAGAGCTAGATTAGAGCTATTTTAAAATAGATAAAGGTGAAACATGGGCTGTGTTTGGAATGGACTGCATATTGCCTACCATTTAAATAGGCTATTATGTAAATAAAAAATAATAAATATATGAGAAATAATACGCTGTATACAATTTCAGACAATGGTATTTTCACCTGACCTCATTAGAGTCCAGTGTGACCATATGATTTGCAGGAGTCTTTAGTTTAGTGAGAGTCTGTTGGTGTTGATGAACACTAGGTGGCGCTAGAGACGCAGATCCTATTAAAAGAGTTTGATGCTGAGACAGACTTTGAACTTGAATGTCCAAAGATCAAAATGGCACAAATAAAGTCTTTACAAAAAATCTCAGATGCCAAGAAATACTTCTTGTGCATGCTATTAAGATCAAAAACTTAAAAAAACTCAAATATTGGAAATTGAAGACAAAAATCCAAGAATTTTGTGAGCATGTGTGGATTTGGGGATTTAAATGTAACCGAGTAAGAGAATTAGAGAAAGAAAAATGGAGAAAAAGTAAATGTGTTTTTTGTTCTCATTTTGTTCTCATTCTCCACAGAGAGAGAGAGAGAGAGAGAGAGAGAGAGAAAGAGAGAGAGAGAAAGAGTCGCCTCTAAGCCAGTTTCAATCACCTGAGACATGAATGCAAGAGCTGATCCAACCAACTGTATCTAAATGAAGACATTCGTCTATTGTCTATTTTATTATTATTATATTATTCTGCATGAATTCTGCCAAGGTTCTGCCAAGTTTAGATATTCAGATTCAGTTATTTTGTCAGGTCTTGTTAAGTTAAACACACACACACACACACACACACACACACACACACACTCACACTCACAGGTCTTCTGGAGAGTGTGCTGTTCAAGACCCCTACCACTAAACAAATTGGCGAGTGACCTCTTGCTCCGGTGTATTTACCCATGACAGGTGTATGAACCACAGCCGTCCCACCGTCAGCATTACAGACCCGCTCCAACACACTGAGAGCGAGACACGCAAATAAACTTCATGATCCTCATAATCAACAAAGCGCTCATCACTGCAAATGAAAACAACAACAACAAAAATGCATAATATGTGAAAATTAAATAAATTAAATGTAAAGCAGGGTTATTATAGTTTACTAACACACACAAAAAAATAAAAATAAAAAAATCGGTTACTTGAACTGAACTTTAACTGAAATAATACTTATTACAATATTAATATAATTGTATATATTACAATTATAAAAACTAAAGACATATTTAAAAAAAAAAACTAATACAAATGACAAAAAACTAAAATTAACTAAACTAAACTAAAATTCAAATTAAAATAGAAAATTTAAAAATACAAACTTATAAAAATATATATATATATATAAAATATAGTATTTAAATGATACTAAATTAACATTGAGGCAAAGTAAAATTATATGATGAGACCAGAACAATTCCAGTATAAATCAACAAAACTTTCACTCTAAATAAAATTATTCAGTGCAACTAAATAAAATGTAATATTAAAATGGTTCGAAATGAATATTAAATAAAAGGATACAAGCTACCTACTCTAAACTTCACGTAATGTTACACTGAGGTTGTAGTTACATTCTTTAACATTTGTGAAAAGTTATTAGTATTTGATAAGTTTTCTCAATGTAAGGAGAAAATATCCTTGATGTTACATTTCAACATTCTTCAAAAATTATTATTATTAATTTATTTATAGTTTAGTTGTATTTTATTATCTGATAAGTATAAATAAATAAATAAAACATCCTTGCAAACGATGGCACCTCATTTTTTTTCTTAATAGTTTAAACGTTTATTAAAGATTTGTTTTATTAGTAGTATTTTTATTTATCATTATTAATTTATCATTTAATTTTTATTAATTGTTTAGTTGTATTATAAAGTATCTAATAATAAAAAAAAAATTCTTGCAAATGGTGGAAACATTTTCTTAATTGTTCCCATAATAATTTAGTTTTTTTATGGTTTATATACACTGATCAACACAGACTGTTACAAAGAAACCTTTGTGAATTTTAAACGTTGTTACATTTCACGTTTAAATAACATTCTACTTGCATGAACATTCTAATCTTTCCACAGCCTAAATGGAATGTTTCTAAAGCGCAGACCACTTTAACCTTTCTAACGGGAACATTCTTTTTGTTTTGTCGTGCCGTCTCTCAGTGTAGACGGGGTGTGAGGCTCTTTGTGAAGTGTTCTCCGACATGAGGGCCTCTGACCTCTGACCCCTTCTGCACTTCAGGGCCCAAACCCTCCCCCCTCCGTCCCGGACCGCCGTATGATTTATTCAGCAGCTCTTGCTGTGGACTGGCTTTGTGACCCCCTCTCATAGAGTGTTTGGAGAGGGTTGGCGTGTGACACTGACTCACGCTCACAGCTTTGCGTCGCCCATCTGGCCTCGTTCCTCTGCAAAGCGGCACAAAGATTCAGATTTGAGTTTGATAAGGTCGTGTTTCGATTCTGTCCTTCAGAGGAATGACTTGTGCGTGTTTAACCCCTCATCTCCTACAGAGATGATTTAGACTTTCACCGTCGCTTCTGGCCAAAATATGAGTCCATAATTCATAATAACGCTTCCTCCAGTGAAAAAGTCCATCTCGTGTTGTCTCTCATCAAAACCCAGCCACATATTTGTTTAGAGCTGTTTTGGCTTGTAAACGGTGCTTGATCTGTGCAGATTTCTCTCCTGATTCAGACCAGACCACCTTTTCACTGGAGGAAGCAATATTATGGATAGAGGACTCATATTTTGGCCAGAAGCAATGTTTTAAAGGAGACGCACAATGCGAGTTTAATCTATCAAATATTCAATTATGCATTGCTGTTACATTATACAATATTAAACAATCATGCATATAATTATGCATTCAATAGGTTGTCATATAGACACTTTTTGATTCTGTAAATCAGCATTCAAATCCCTCTTATTTGACAAGATGCTAATTAATCGTCATGAGTAATGGCTCCCTTTAACAAGTTAGAACGGGTTGCAGACATTCCCATTTTTTCAGGTGGACTCGAGTGCAGTTCGCAATGCTGCTTTTTTGTGTGCAACAAAAACTCCAAAAACACATTTACATTCATGCATTTAGCAGATGCTTTTATCTGAAGCGACACGCATTCCCTGGGAATCTAATTCATTATTTCAACACTTCTAGTAAAGGAACGCAAGCCTCTGCAAAAGCACTTACAATGCGAATGTCTCACAGAAACACATTCAGCAATGATTATGGATCTGTTTTACCAAGATAGGGATGAGTTTGTTTCTTCATCAGATTTGGAGAAATGCAGCATTGCATCACTTGCTCTGCAATGGATGCTCTGCAGTGAATGGGTGCCGTCAGAATGAGAGTCCAAACAGCTGATAAAAACATCACAATAATCCACAAGTAATCCACAGCACTCCAGTCCATCAGTTAACATCTGGAGAAGACAAAAGCTGCGTGTTTATAAGAAACAAATCCATCATTAACATGTTTTTTAACTTTAAACCACTGTTTCTGACTAAATACAAGTCCTTTATCCATAATAATGCTGTCTCCAGTGAATATCATCTGGTCTGAATCAGGAGAGAAATCTGCACAGATCAAGCAGCGTTTATGGGCCAAAACAGCTCTAAACAAATATGTGGCTGGATTTTGATGTGAGAGACAACAGGAGATGGACTTTTTCACTGGAGGAAGCGGTATTATGGATTATGGACTCATATTTTAGTAAAAAAACGTCTTGATGGATTTGTTTGATACAAACACACAGCTTTTGTCTTCTCCAGATGTTAACTGATGGACTGGAGTGCTGTGGATTACTTGTGGATTATTGTGATGTTTTTATCAGCTGTTTGGACTCTCATTCTGACGGCACCCATTCACTGCAGAGCATCCATTGCTGAGACACTGATGCAATGCT